GACTGCCTCCAGGGAGAATGAAGAGAGACAAATTTGATAGAAAACGAGGGCTCATGATACATGTTCACGTTTTTGGCACTCGAGTTTGTGATTTGAGGCTCACATCCACCCAACTGTCTCTTCTTCCTACTTCCTTTGTGTTCTCAACTTTTTCTTTTCGCACCACTAAACTACAACACTTACAGGCCAGAAGCAGCACGTTTTCCTGATCTCTGTGCCCTGCAGTGCCTTGTGCATATGTCTAGGCGCTCAATTCAACTTCCTGAATTGGATTAGCACACTGTGGCAGAGATGTGCTCCTGCTCCTCCTGAATATCTCTGTCTTGTTTCAGAACCAGCACAGTTTGCCTCTTTCATTGATGCTGCCCCTGGAATGGGGCAGGTGACCCAACTGTGCAAATCAGAACAAATCTTGTACCACAGCCGAGCTTCAAACCAAAGCTGACCCGTCAGCATCTCACCAAGTGCTGGTGTGGAGCTGCCAGAACTCCTCTCTCCCAGGCACTTCCGTTTGGACTTGCTACAAGATTCTGTCACCACAAGGGGAGAGCCTGAGAGCACACCACACAGAAGGGCATTGGACAAGAGCTGCGGAGAGAATCCACCGGAGCCCAGGACTAGGCAACAGCTGAAGCCACAGCAGCTCGGGACTGTCCGGTGACTTGGACCAGCAGGCTTTCCCTTTCTGCTAAAGCCAGTTTGGATCAGAGTTCCTGACACATGCAACTAAAACTTAGTAAATAGTACATAAATCTTGCCCCCAGAAGACTTTCTGCTGTGAACCCTATCAAGCAAGCAGAACTGAGTCAGTCAAATAAGCAAATTCCACAGTTGAGAGCTGATACTGCAAACATCCTGCTGTGGGGAAAGGTCGCAGCCTTTTTTGTAAACACGGGAAGGGGGCTATTGGACTTGGGAATTCAGATACGGCCTACGGTGCCTACGCGCCACAGAGTGCGGTCGCTAAGCCCTGTGCACTGGCGGGCCACAAGCCTGGTCACCGTCAGCATGCCTTCGTGTTCAGCTGAACTATACAAGACTCCAGATAATTGGTTTTAATAGCGCAGATTTTTAAAATTTCTGATAAAATCCCATTGCTTGGTCATAGTTATGTATAGCGAATTTCTCTGTTAGAGCCAACAAATAATAACAATTTAGACATAAGCCTCAGTTCCTGTCCTCAGCATCAAATCCCGGCTCTTTTCCTCGGCTGTGCCATCAGGGATATAGAGAGCATGGTCTGGTCAGAATGTTGGCATCATTATATCACTGAAGTTATGAAGATACAGGTCATTACTAAAGAGGCCTTTTAAATTTTAAATCATGGTTGGCATCTGAACATTCATAAAAGTCTTGAGTCTCTTGAATCCCAAGGCAAAGCAAATTCTCTAAAGATCTTTGAGTTTCCTCCTGAGAGTGAATGGCTGCCAAACCTCAAGCTAAGAAACTTAGCTTAAATTTTTCTTTAAAAAGTAATTAAAGCATTTGAAAATGTCCATACTAAGACAATTTTATTGAAATTAAGAGTTTCAAAAATACTGGGAAGAAAATTTTTACTTTGGAAACCTCAAAAGCTTGAAAGGAGCTTAAGCTGTGGAAATAATTTACATATTGATCATGGGCAATAAACTAGGGGCTGGGTCGCTGGGGCAAACTTGCCACCTGGGGAGAGAAACTGACCATGGATTAAGCACCCTGCACCCCATTACTCAAGGCCAGGGCTTCCCAAACTTTCCTTCATATCAACAAGCATCCACAATAATATTTTCCTCAGTGGACGCTCAGCTATGAGAGAGGTACCTACAGGAAAAGTTTAGAAGTTTAGAAACGGTTTTCCAAATGTCCATTAACTAGATATTAACCAAATTATTAAGCCTTATAACTTACATGAAATAAAGGTTAATTCACTGAATTGATAAAACCCTAACCAAAATCAAAGGAGCTAGAATGCTGCTAAGGAAATATATAGAATAGATAGATTAAATCTTAGTCAAAGTAGAAGAAACTTCATACATCTATGTAATTTTTTAGAAGGCTTTGACATATTGCCCTTAGCTCAGAAGCTTTATTAGAACATTACTGTCTTGAACACCACTGCCCGACAACTACAGACATCGTTTCTTTTTTTTTTTTTTTTTAATAGTTTCTTAAGTGGATTCTTATCTTTCTGTGGCCTTGGTTTAACTACTTCCTTTGACTCAAGGGGACAGAACTTATCAGTTCAAGAAATCAAAACTGGTCTCTCTGGTCACATCAGCAGCCTTCATAGTCCAAACTTTAAACCAAATTGGCTGAACCCCAAACATTAGTGGCCCTACCGGAGCCCAGGACTAGGCAACAGCTGAAGCCACAGCAGCTCGGGACTGTCCAGTGACTTGGACCAGCAGACTTTCCCTTTCTGCTAAAGCCAATTTGGATCAGAGTTTCTGACACATGCAACTAAAACTTAGTAAACAGTACATAACATTAGTATATCCTGTGCTTCTTTTCTCCTCCCCCTGACCCCAGGCTGCAGATGTGGGGCAGAGAGTAGGGAGTGGTGAGAACTTAGCTTTCAGCATAAGGAGACCCTTGACTTAGACTCACTTTATCTTTTCTCAAACTAAGGAGAGATCCTGGCTCACAGCAGACTACACTTGCCACTCTAGTCTGATCATTTGGTGTAAAAAATGGACTCTTCCAAAGAAAACAGAAAATTCAGTGTGCTTAGGTTCTAAATTGCATAGGATTATGTCTTATCACGACACACTTGCAAACAAGGCAACAGGTAGAAGGACTTGTGACAGGCAGTCAGTCCAGCAACACAGCCAGCCAGATTTCCCTCTGACCCATGAGGCACCACATCCTACTTTTTAGGTGGAATAAAAGCCTCAAATCACTCTTGATGAGCAAAGACTTGTTACTATTATTTTTTAATCTTACAAAAGATGAAGGTTAGTATTTTCTCATTTTACAGAAACTTTGTTTAAATAGAACATTAGCAAACCAAACAGCCAATTTTCCTTAATTTAAACAAGATGAACAGGATGGAAGTTATAATTTATTTTGATTATTCTAACCTCCAACATAGTAATTTGCAAACACCTGAGCAGTCAGGCCTGCACAGGTAATGCAAGAGCAGGCCCACACAAGGAAGTAAAGGGCTCCTGGGAGACCTGTCATTTCTCTGGAGGGCATCTTCTAACTTATTATTAATTAGGCATCTCCCACATCTCAATAAAAACATTCCTGAGAACAAGAATGCAGGAGAGGCATATTCTGTAAGCAGAAGAAAACCTGAAAATCTTCTCTCCTACGGGTAGAACTTTCTGGACCCATCAGATTCTGACTCCCTGTGGGGCAGAGGGCCCTGTCTGTGTCGTTCTTTCCAACTCAGCCCTGGCAGAGTTGGAAACATTTGTTGAAATCAAGTGAAAAGGCTACGTTTCTGGCCAGCAGGTACATCCCATTTCTTTGTGGTCACTCACCAGTTCATAGCACTTTCCTAACTTGTTTCAATGTGAAAGATCCACTGCAGCAAGGAGATCCACAGACGCCCTGTGCTCCCAGGGCCAGAGTGGCCACCTCACCCACCTCTTCTGCTCTCAGAGACCCCTCTACTCCAAGCGGCTCCCCAAACAGCCTGGCTGGTCACAGGGAGGGCCAGGTGAGTGTGTGGAGGGCCTGGCACACTTCGGGGCAAGCGCCCCGCGCGCATCTTCCCGGCCTCCTGCCCCCCCTACTGACCGACCCCTAGGCCTCTCCCTCCTGGGGTCCAGGTGCTCGTGCCCACCACGTGCTCCCCCCGAGTCAAGCGCACAGCACACCCACACCACCCTGACAGAGCTCAGAGTGTCACTTATTGGAACAAATTGGAACGGAAAAGGCAGTAACTAGCAAGTGGCTTTTCCAACATGACATAATCCCAAATAACATAAAATGAATTACAGTAGTTAAAAGTAAGCGTTAGAGCTTTTCTGTGAACGGAAACGACCGTGGTCGCGTCCAGAGAGCTGGTTAATCTTTGACAGTTCGCGGGATGACGACAGCAAATCCCAAGACACGCTCGTTTCTCGCCCTTTCGCCACCCATTTACCCTCTCCAGCAGTTTCTTAAGGGGGAAGGGGTGGAGGTGACCCCGATTCTGGGTGAGGCTCAGGGGCGGCACCGACACCCGTACTCACTTGTGACCCCGGAGCTGGTCCTCTCCGGCGCCCCTCGAGCCGCGGACACCTACCCAGGAACAGGAAGGGCGCCCTCCGCTCGGCCCCGCCTCCCAGGGCAGGGACGGGCCCCGGCGAGGCGCACACCTGAGACAGGTAAGGGAGCAGGTGAACACCCGCTTTTGTCCAGTACAAAGCACCTACTTCACGTATTCTCTGGGCAAAAACAACACAGCACTCGGGGGGCAACCAGGGAGGGTCTGCTCTGGACCTTGTCAGTCCCATGGCGGCTTCGAAAGCATCTCATCTTAGAATTGGGACAACCTAGGCCGACGGCCCCTGTCCCAGAACGGACGGTTGTGGGCGGCAGGGCGACGCAAGGGTCTCGGGTCCGGGGAGGTCCTCCTTGGCCCTGTGCGGGCTCCGCTCACCCCCGATCGCGGGCCTCGCGTTTGAGCCGCGCGGCCCAGGTCTGGGGGGACGTTCACCTGAACCCCAGGAGGGAGAGGCCTAGCCCGCGGTCCAGGACCGGCCCCTCAGGTGTCGGTCAGGAGTCCCACGCACCCCCACCACGTGCTCCGGGAGCCCTCCCCCGCCCTCAGGTGACCTGAGTCCAGCCCCCCACCGGACCCTCCCCTTTCCAGGTGACTCACGGCCCCGCCCCACTCCGCCCCTCTCCTCGAAGCTCCTCCCCCTCCCGAGGCCCCTCCTCCGCCTCCTGACCTTTTGCCCCGCCCCCACGCCGCCCCCTCCCCCGTGGCGCCCCTTCCGTTCTCCGGAGGACCGTGGCCCCCCCCGCCTCAGTACTGCGCAGGTGCAAAGCCCGGCGCTCGCTCCGGGGCGGGGCTAAGGCCGTACTGCGCAGGCGCGCGGGGCGGGACCCTCGAGGTGCGCATGCGTCGCGCAGGAAACGTCCCGACGCGCTCAGTGGGCGCCTGGGTGTGCGCGCGGGAAGATGGCTGAGCAGCTGCCGAAGTCTGTGCTCTTCGTGTGTCTGGGTGAGACAGCGCTGATCTAGCCCCACTCTGGCTTTCCCGAACGGTCGGGGTGGGTCTCCTGCGTTTTGGGCTGCGCCGTCGGGCCAAGGCCGGGGTCGGGGATACCGGAGGGTGGAATGGAGCGCCCGGGGCTCTTCCTCCGCGCCGCGCACTTGCTGGCCTGTTCTCCAAGCTGGGTTCCCTCACCAGCCCAGCCCACTCTCCAAGCGAGGTTCTCTCTCACCTGCCTGTTCTGCACGCGGGGTCCCCTCTTACCCTGCTCGGTCCGATCCAAGCCGGGTTACCTGTCACCTCAGTCCGCGCACCTAGCCGTCCTCACCTGCAGCACCGACACTGCAAACCAGGGTCCTTTGCGTTGCACACGCCTGGCATCCCCGTTTCTCCTTCATCGAGTAGACCCAAGGCTGCTGGACTGATCTACTCTCTTGGGGCCTCCCGATGCCCCCAGACCCATTACAGCCCTGGTTTGCTGGCTCATTTTCTTGGCCCCTGCTTACAAATGGATGTAAGCTAAAGACAGATGGAGTGCAAGGATCTGGGTTTCTTGGCTATAAAAGCCGAACCAGGGGGACCGGATTCTCTAGGTGCCAGTGTTCCAAATTAGAATTCACTCTCCCTGTAGTTGTCGGGATTCTTCCTTTGGAATAGCACCACAGGGTTATATTTCTCAGTGTTTGCACCCTGTCTCCTTAACCTCCAAGACAGGAAGGCCTAAATCATCAATAGTCCAGTTACTTAAAATCTTCTGATGAGTCTCCATTTCCTGTGGACTAAAGTTTCCCCACCTTTCTGTGCTGCCCCCTTCAAGAAGAGGATGGAAGTCTGCCCATCTGTTTCCGCTTCATCTCCATACCTTTTCCTGCCCATGCCCTGTGACTTGCTGTCTCCCAGCAGTTCAGGTGCTTGACGCACCTCTGTGTGGTTGTTTCTGGGCACCCATATTGCATTTTCCCTGGAAAGACTTTCTGTAAGATTAGGTCCACATATTCTCTTTGCTTTTCCCAGATCCTCTAAGTGGAGGTCGTTTACCTATAACCCTTTGTAGACACCTTTCATTATATGAACTTTATTATAATTACTTGATAGCCTCTTGGGATCACATCTAGATTTAGCCCTCTTGAGGGCAGTAACTGTGGCTTATTTTTCTGTATTTCCAGCTTTAAGACAATATGTGACGATAACTAGGTATTTGCAGAATTGAATTTCTGTGAGGGGAAAAGTAAAAGGGCCACCTTGTTTCAGTTTGGTAGTGGGCATCATTTGGTTTTTAAGCTCTCCATGAAGGCTGACTTATGGAATCAACAAATTAAGATTAAAGGGCAGTTCAGTTCATGTTGGGCATCTAACAGGATTCCATTGCCTTGTTTATTTTACTTGGTGTTGTCGATTATGCTGACATAATGCACCATGGTGGTTATTAACAGGGGATGTATACCTGTGTCTATTTATATTCCATACAATTTTTTTTTTTTTTTTTTTAAGCAACTGCTCTATTACCAGGCACTCTTCTGAGTGCTAGGGATATGGTAGTGAGCAACAGACAAAAGTCCCTGCCTCTGCGGAGCTCATGTTCTGTCACCAACAACCAAGTACTTGGTTACTTAATAAGTTGGTGATGTGTTAAGAACTGTAGAGCAGGGAAGGGGGTGAGAGTGGAATACACTTTTAAGTAGATGAGTCAGGGATGGCCTTATCTATAAGGTGACATTTGGGCAAAGACTTGAGAGTTGAGAAAGCAAGCCTGGGTCTTCCGGGGCTCAAAAGAAAGTGGGTGAACAGTTTTGAAATGAGAGTGCTCGTCCTGTTCACATTGGCAGGGAAACCACTGTGGCCTGGCCTAGAGACCCAGTAGCCTTTTTCAACCAGACCTTCATCTGTACCTGAACTTGAAAGTAATTTGAGTGACTATTTTCTCAATGCCACCACAAATACATAACTAGAACTATTCTGGATGGGTAGGAAAGGTATTTCCTTACATAAAAATGAGCGCTGTGGGGCAGGAGTCTGTGAACTCCTTATATAAAGAACCAGAAAGTAAGTGTTTTGGGTGCTTTGCAAAAGCAGACCTAGACAATACATAAACAATAACGCTTGACTGTATCCCAGCATAACTTTATTTACGGACACTGCAGTTTGAATTCCATGTGGTTTTTCTCATGTCACAAGATGTTACTCTACTTTTGAGTTTTTTCAGCTGTTTATAAAGGTAAAAATTATTTTTGGTTTTGTCGGCTGTACACAAAGGTGGTGAGCAATGGATCATAGTTTTCAGATGCTGTTTTAGGGTCTACAGAGGACATGTCTGGTGAGGCCATGTGAGGGCTTGGGCTTACTCTGAAGGAGATAAGCCACTGGAGGATGAAGCCATTGAGCAGAGGTGGGACATTTAGAAAGAAGTGTTCATCTGCTGTGTTGAGATTAGACTGGGCAGGGGTGAGGTCCCAGGGGTGCAGAGGGGCATGTGCTGGATCAGAGAGAGTATCACCGGGGTGGGGGGTGCTGAGTGGTCATATTGTGGGCAGGTTTGAGGAGTCTATGAATGCCATTTTGCACGATAGCCTGTGTATACATAGAGCAGTAAGAACGGTATATTTTTGGTATGTAAAAAAATTCTTCCTTCAAAGCATTTATTTGGGCTCTTTTCAGACTGAAGTGTGGAGAGGAGTGTCAGATGTTTTCCACTGGTAAGACTAATGGCAGGAAGGAACTGCACTCCTTATTTTGGCAAGATTACTGAAAGTGTCCTGTGTTTTTGTGCCACAGAGGTAGACTGAATGGTTGAAGGCCCCAGGGCTTGTGCCTGGTGACTGTCAGTGGTGTTAGGTTTCCTCTTTCCTACAGTTAACTGATACTTCTTGATACTTCCTATGTGCTGCTCGTTGTGGGGGGTGCAGCCCAAGGTAAGAGACACAGTCCCTACCCTGGGAGAATTTCATTTTTTCCTTTGGTGAGTCTCAGTCCTTGAAGTACAGATATTGAGTAAGAGGACGTATCATGCTGCCTAATTTGGAAAAAACAAACTTGAGACCTCACAGATTGAGCTTTTTTCTAAAGAAATCTGAAGATGACATTTTAAGTTTTTAGAACTTTTCCAAAGGTGGAACCTGAAGTATTGAAGATTCTAATGTGAGTAAAGAGTGACCCGTGTCTTAACTCTGCTCCCCGTCTATTCCTCTTGTTTTTTGTGTTGCCCTCTGTAGGCTGAGTCTCCACCTTTAATTCCAGGCTTTCCAGCCCTGCAGTTGTTTTCCTAACTTGTGGAAAGAGTCTTTCTCTTCAGGCCCTTTTACAGTGCTGGGCTCCTGTGTCATAGACATGCAGAATATGTTTGTTGAACATTCTCTTCCCACTGGACCCACAGAGTCCACATCCTGGGCACAGTTAAGGTTCCTGTAACCCAGACCCACCAGTGCACATTCATTGCTCCTTACTCATACAGCCCCCTAATTTAAATGCCCGTTAAAGTACTCTTCCTAAGAGATCAATTCCAGTCTTCCTTTTTTTCTGATAAGGAATTTTCTTATCTTATTTATGCTTTTAGCATAATTCCTTAGGATAATGGGCATGTTTTGTTATTCCAGGAGGTCCTTACGTAGTTCATGCATGGTGGGTGAGTCAGGGTGGGGTCTGTGAGCCACACATTAGGGATGGGGGAGCTGGACGTTAGTTCAGCTGCAGGCCCATTATTCCATCACTCATACCTACTTAATGAAACTCAGTGAACCCTTGGCATTGGAGCTCTGGGAAGCATCCTGAATTGGTAATACTTTGAGTATTGTTCTAGATGGATGACGAGAGGGTGACACGTGTCGGAGGGCCAGAAAGCTTCAGGTTCGAAACTCTTCCAAATCTGCCTATGCTTTCTAACTTTGGCTCTTTCTGCTTTGAATCTTTTTGTTATGATAAAACTGTAATCCTAAGTCTAGCATTTTCCTGAGTTTTACGTGTTCGTCTAGAGAATTATTGAATGTGTGGGGACTCCTGGATCTGTAGCCAGCTGCTCTGAAGTGAGGGTGGCCCTGGGGAATCCCTGAACTTGCAGCCGATGTTGGAAGTTCTGGGCAGGCTTGGTGACCTGGAGGGAAGCACCCTTAATTCAGCCGGCCGACTCCCAACAGACTGCACCCTGAAAGTTTGTGTTGAACTACTGTTAGGCTGAAATTTGGTTGTGTATTTTATGAAACAGTATTCATCCTTATGTGCAATATACTTGAAAATACATATTTTTAACCCTATTGTATTTCATTTTAAAAATAGGCTCATTGCAACCCACTTCACTGATTTCATGAGTTACTTCTGGGTCATTTATAACAGCCTGAAAAACAGTGATTTCAGTTGTAATTGATTTTCTTACGTTTTGGTTATTTGTACTTTGAGTACTTGGACAGCTGGTGTCAAATCATTGAGCTTGGGTTTGGTCAGCTCTTCTCCAGAGGTCCCACTGTGGATGCACTGGTAGGATGCTGACCTTGCTTTCCTTAGGGAGGTGCTGTTGCTGTGTGTCAGGTGGGTGAAGTGGTCTCTGGCATTCAGCATTTGCCCTAGCATCAAACCTGACGCCCACTCTCTGCCTTCCCCTCTTTTTAAGGTAACATCTGTCGGTCACCCATTGCAGAAGCAGTTTTCAGAAAACTTGTAACTGATCAAAAGCTTTCAGATCATGTAAGTACCATTCTCTATCTTAAAGAGGCCAACCTGACTGCCTTTGCGGCAGGAAATTGTGAAAAAAATTATTTTTTTCTCCTGCAGTGGAGGATAGACAGTGCAGCGACATCCACGTATGAAATAGGAAACCCTCCTGATTATCGAGGGCAGAGTTGCATGAAGAAGCATGGTATCCCCATGAATCACACTGCCCGGCAGGTACTGTACTGGAACTTGAAGGTGCACATGTGTGTTCTGTGTTGCAGTGGGTCATTGACAGCGGCGCTGTTTCTGACTGGAACGTGGGCCGGTCACCAGATCCAAGAACTCTGAGCTGCCTCAGAAATCATGGCATTAACACAGCCCATAAAGCAAGACAGGTAGAAGAGATCTCATTTAATTTCTAATACTGGAGTCCCCTAACTTGAGACGTTGTGAGTTTAACCACACTAATGTGCTACTAAGTGTTTATTCTGGTCCGTTTACATAGCTACAGGATACCCATTTTTTTTCACTGCTGGTTCCACAGTTCTGAAAGGTGGGCATGATCTTGGAATTTACTTATTAAAATGCATTTATTTTTATTTTATGTATTTATTTATTTGACAAAAATACAAGAGAACGGATAGATCTATACCTTTATTTATTTACTTTTCATTAAGTTTAAATCCTTGAGGGGTACAACATCACACAGATTCTGTGGCCAATGGCTTTAGCAGGAAGGTTGCTTCAGAATTTGGCACGAACCATGCCACTGTTTCATGAGCTCGAGTTACTTTTCCCCAGATTACTCTGGTTTTGTTTGGCTTGCCACCAGAAGTCACTGTGTTGTTCTTTGCTTGGCACACATAGGCACATCTCTTGCCTAGATAGAATTCAGTTTCATCTCAACCTTAGATTTTAAGAGCTGTGTGCTCCCTCTGGTTGTGGAGACCCCGCTTATGGCCAGCAAAAAAGGCCTTGGGCCACAGCCTTCCGGACATATTTGGTGTTTTAGGAGTCCTATTCCCAGCAGGGCTCCATAGGCTCCAAGATGGCAGAAAGAGAAAGGCTAAAATGCATTTATAATCACATAAGTGATACTGGTAAGAGCCCTGCCTAAGACCTGGAGACCTGAGTTATAATCTCCTTTTTCATGTCCATCTGTGTGATTGAAACATTTAAGCCCTGGTAACTAGTCTGCTTATGTTACAAGTTTATTGCTAGAATAAAGTTCTATAATATCTACAAAAATGTATTTTCAACAGTGAAGTGTCTTAGAAATATAGGGTAGTACTGGTATTATTATGGATGCATATCCTGCACCCCAGCAGTTGGACTTCTGGGTTTAGGTTCTGGAGTGCTGCACTGTAGAACATTCTGGGATAAGGCAGGTAACGCTGTATCTGCTCCATTCGGTGTGGAAGCCACTAACAGGCCGTTGTACATTTGAGATACGGCCAGTGTGATGGAGGAACTGAAGTTTATTTTTTAACTTACTTAAGGAGCTGCCTGGAACTAGTAAGCACGTCAGTGGGCTGCACGGTTCTAAGATTCATGCACAACCACTGGGGAGAGCGTGAGGGTTGTAGCACTGCAGTGAGACATCAGAGCCCAGGGGCGGGCACGTTCCATCACTAGGAGCATGCCACAGGTGTGTGCTCTGGCACCTTCCATGACCCCAGGGGCTAGCTGCTAAAGAAATGGGCTTCATTTCTGATACAGAGTGCTTCATATATTGTTATGAAAGGAAAGTTACTTTTATCACTACCATTATTTTATGGAGACTCAGTTAGATGTTTAAAAATTCTGGCTGGGGCGCCTGGGTGGCTCAGTCAGTTAAGCGTCCGACTCTTGATTTTGGCTCAGGTCATGATCTTAAGGCCATGAGATCGAGCCCCACATCAGGCTCCCCACTCAGCAGGAGGCTGCTTCTTTCCCTCTTTCTCTCCCTCTGCCCCTTCTCTCGTTCACTCTCTCTCTAAAAGAAATAAATCTTTAAAAAAATTAAAAAAAAAAAAAAAAAACCTGGCTCAATCTTCTAACTTCTTTTGTATCCAACCTAACAAAATATGCAGGCTCTGTAGGCCAAACAAGGCTGTGGATTGGCATCAGAAACAATAGGCTATGTCCAGTGATGAGCTCTTGAGGCCTTTAAAATGAGAAGCTGCCAAATGTTTTGAAAATCAGTTGTGAGATATATTACATATTTAGAAGTATGGCTGACATGTGAGAGCTGCAATTTAGTATTGGTGTTTGAATGAGAACTTTGTGTAAGACTGGACAAAGACTCTAATCATTGGTATCTTAAACCATGTCTTTACTGAAAGCTTTTCAGATTGCTTACCATACAGCACTGTATTTTTATTTTTGATCATTCTCAATTTTTGTCCTCTCCATTACCTTGTTAGGGAAGGGAATAGTTGGTAAACCTGTTTTGCACATGGAGAAACTGAGTTCTGGAGAGAAAATATATAACTTATCAAAGGTCACCCAGCTTCAAACTGGTAGACTGGGATTTGACCATAGGCTTATTTGTTTGTTTTAATAAAAACATATACAGGTATGAGCCAGAAAGTTCACAAAAGTGCCACAGAAACACTGCTGATGTGTTAATGATGTCTCAGAAGCTAGTAATACACACGTTACTTTGGCTTAGATAAATTTACTCTGGAATCTGAACTTCTCATTTCTGGCTGTCAGCTGACTCTCTATGTTAACAACTAACTATTTAAGTTAACTGCCTTAAGGCCTGACCTGTTCTTTTTTTTTTTTTTTTTTAAGATTTTATTTATTTATTTGACAGAGCACAAGCCGGGGGCGGGGGGCAGCAGGCAGAGAGAGAGGGAGAAGCAGGCTCCCCACTGAGCAGGGAGCCCGATGCGGGGCTTGATCCCAGGACCCTGGGATCATGACCTGAGTGGAAGGCAGACACTCAGGCAACTGAACCACCCAGGCACCCCAAGGCCTGACCTGTTCTTACATCGAATTCTCATTGGACAGAATAGTACACATTTTTTAGATCACATGTCTTAATCTCCAGGATATGGACACCTTGTCCATTTCTACTTTCTGTGTTTTAGAGAATGCAGATTTATTTATTCTGAGTAGTGGTTCATGATTTCAAGCAGTCACACTTTCATGTTTTCTGTTTTTAAGATCGGATTATTTTTTGTACACAAGTATATAATTTGGGTAAAAATGAAGTATTTTAAATACACATGTCTTAAAAAGCTAGAAACTTAATTTTTAAAGATCAATTGTAATTGTTGATTTTAGAAGTAATATTCCCACACAATCTGTTTCTTTCCCTTTTTCTTTTCCCCTGTTCCTTTTAAGAAACATTTCTCGATGATTTTTTTTTTATTTCAAAACACTGGTAAGATGTGTTTTATAAATTAGTATTGTTTTAGATCTCTCTTACCCTTTAGCATCTTGTGATTGTTTACGGGCTTTCTTTTTTTTTTTAAGATTTTATTTATTTATTTGACAGAGGGGGAACACAAGCAGAGGGGAGCATCAGGCAGTGAGAGAGGGAAGAGCAGTCTCCCCGCCGAGCAGGGAGCCCCACGCGGGGCTTGATCCCAGGACCCCGAGATCATGACCTGAGCCAAAGGCAGACGCTTAACTGACTGAGCCACCCAGGTGCCCCTACAGGCTTTCTCTTTAGCAGTTGTCGGAATGTGTAAGAGAACTATTCTGTTACATTTCTTAAAATTTTGATTTTCCTAATACTTTCAACCTGGGTTTAATAAATAAAATGTGTTTAGGGTGCTTCGTTTTCTTTTGGGGGGGTGGTGTGTGATTGCACATCCAGTTAGTTCTGTGGAGATGTTTACTCTGTTACACATTCGTTCTTCTCATCAGCAAACCTTTCACATTTGCACAGGTTGTCAGTGGGTACTTGGGACCAGTACCGCTCCCTCCACTCCAGAGGTCATTAGTCAGGTTCTTTCTACCTTTTTAACTTAGGACCTTGGAATCCTACAGTGTGTGCTCTTTCTGTCATCTTTTCTCTGTGAGATTCTCCATGGCCTGTCTTGTAGCGCTTACTCTGATGCTGATTTCAATACCCTGTTCCAGACGTGCTGCAGTTGTATCTCTTCTACTCTGGATGGACACTTGGGCTGTTCCTAGTTTGGGCTGAGTGCCCTGGTGAATATTTGTATGTTTCTTTGGGGAATGACTGTGTACAGTTCTGTTGGATGCACACCTGGGATTACCGGCGTGTCAGGGTTGGATGCACACCCAGGATTACACACATTGTCAGGGTGGATGCACACCCACGATCACACACATTGTCAGGGTTGGATGCACACCCAGGATCACACACACTGTCAGGGTTGGATGCACTCCCAGGATCACACACATTGTCAGGGTTGGATGCACTCCCCGGATCACACACACTGTCAGGGTTGGATGCACACCCAGGATCACACACACTGTCAGGGTTGGATGCACACCCCAGATCACACACACTGTCAGGGTGGATGCACACCCCGGATCACACACACTGTCAGGATGGATGCACATCCCGGATCACACACACTGTCAGGGTGGATGCACACCCAGGATCACACACACTGTCAGGGTTGGATGCACTCCCAGGATCACACACACTGTCAGGATGGATGCACATCCCGGATCACACACACTGTCAGGGTGGATGCACACCCCGGATCACACACACTGTCAGGGTGGATGCACATCCCGGATCACACACACTGTCAGGGTGGATGCACACCCCGGATCACACACACTGTCAGGGTTGGATGCACACCCCGGATCACACACACCGTCAGGGTGGATGCACACCCAGGATCACACACACCGTCAGGGTGGATGCACACCCAGGATCACACACACCGTCAGGGTGGATGCAGACCCAGGATCACACACACCGTCAGGGTGGATGCAGACCCAGGATCACACACACCGTCAGGGTGGATGCACACCCAGGATCACACGCACTGTCAGGGTGGATGCACACCCAGGATCACACACACTGTCAGGGTTGGATGCACACCCAGGATCACACATACTGTCAGGGTGGATGCGCACCCTGGATCACACACACTGTCAGGGTGGATGCGCACCTTGGATCACACACGTGTCTGTGTCGGATGCACACTCTGGAGCGCATGTGTCAGGGTTGTTTAGCCTCATAAAACTGGTCAGTAATGTTCCTTCTTTTTCTGTTCTCTTAAGAAGTTTGTTGATTATTGATAGTATTTCTGCTTTAATGATTTGGCAGGATTCATCGAATCAGTTGTCTCTGTTTCTTGAAATTGCCCTTATTTTCCTCTGCTGTCTTTAGGTATTTCTTTTGGATTTTTTTTTTTTCTCTCTCCAGCAGTTTTACTATGGTAGGCCGAAGTATGCTTCCTGAATTTGCACCTTGATGGTTTCCATCAGTTTTGGAAAATTCTATGTTGTTTTCTTTTTATATTTTCCTTCTCTGCATTCTCTCTTCAGAGATTCAACTTACCTGTAGTTTGAACATAAATTTCTTATGTTATCTTCTCCATTTTCTGTCCTTTTCACCTGCTGGCCCTGGCTTTGTGAGGCTTGGACTGTGTTGGACTGGTCCGCAGCCCTGGGCAGAGCCTTTCCAGATCCCCCACCTGAGAGCCCCTGGTGTGCAGTCCACAGGGCTTGTCCTCTTTGGCAGCTGCTCCCTCACTGAGTAGCTGCAGCCTCCTCGTGGCTTCTTAGTTTTTGCCCTCAGTAGGTTAAGAACTTAGCAAATGCTTTGAGAAGAAAGCTTGTGAGTGTCAGGCTCACTGCTTTCTGGGGTCTCTGTTTTGCTAGCCTTTATGTCTGCTTTTTCTCTCCAACTATGAGGTTGCTGACTGGTCCTTGACGCTTCTCTTTTCCAGCAGTGGACCTTTGCCCAGGCTTCTCAGCATCTAGAGCAGGTGCTTGACCTTGGCACTGCTGACTCTGCATCTGGATGGTTCTTTGCTCTGGGGCCATCCTGCACTGTATTGTGTTTGGCCGCATCCTTGGTCTCCACCCACTCGATGCTGGGGCACCCCTTTCCTCTCCATCATAGCAATCAAAAATGTCTCCAGACATTGCCAACTGTCCCCCTCTTTGAGAATCACTGTCCTCAAATTCTCAGTGTCTACAAGGTCAAAATTGTACACGAATAAAAGGATCCATTCAAAGTATCAGACTGACCAGTGGACTTGAACAGAGTAATAAAAGTTTATGGATATTTTTCCTATTCTATATTGCACGTAACCTTTAAGAAAGTACCACTTTACTGAGTTTTGGTGTAGTGTCAGAGATTATCCATAGTAATCTACAACGGCTGTTAAAATACTTCTTGTAAACTGTGTACTCATGCAAGGCTGGGTTCACTTTATATACTTCGACTCAGACGGCACATTGCAGATCAGATAAAGAGGCACAGAGGAGAACCCTTCTGTCCTCCAGGAAGCAGACATTACAGAGATTTGCAGAAATGTAGAACAGGGCCACTCCTTACTGTTTCCATTTAGAAAGTATAGCTGTTTTTTATCTTTAAAAATGTTATAAAACAGATAATTAAAGTTTAAAACTTCTCAGTTTTTTTTTTTTTTTTTTTGGTAGCTGCCTCACTCAGTGTGGAGCCCGACACGGGGCTCGAACTCACAACTGTGAGATCATGACCTGAGCCGAAATCAAGTCAGATGCTTAACTGACTGAGCCACCCAGGTGCCCCTAAAATTTTTCAGTTTTAGTAGTGGTATTAAATATTTGATATTGAGTGGTAAATATTGCCATGTGTAACCCCGGGGGGCTCTTGGTGGGGTTCTGGCCTCGCCAGGCCACGTCCTCACAGCAGCAAAGTCACGGCTCTGCAGAAGTGCTTTGTTTGTGTGGGCATTTTCTCATTTCTGGGGCAGAGGTGGTTTGCCACAGCTATTTCGTGTATTGTTGCAAAGTGTAAGTTCTTCACTCCACACTCTTTCTAAGATGTTAGTCATCGCTGTTCTTATTCTTTCTCAATCATTTTAATATCTAAACATCACATAAAGTTTTTGTAGATAGCTATCAGTTCTAAGACTGTCTTTCGATCCATAATTGCAGTAATTCTAAAATTAAAAACAATGTTAATCCTAGCACATGTCTTGTGCCCTGTTTTGGATAAATAGCTTATATAGTATTGTTCTAATAGATGTTTTTGTTTTTTGTTTTTAAATAAGCTAGTACCTTGGGAATGTTAACAAAATATAGTCCTCAGCATGTGATGAACATGCTTCATTAAAAACTCATGCAAGTATTTACTAAGAGCCAAGAGTTAAATTTTTAACAGAATGAGGAGTATGTTTATTATTCATTTGTGACACTGATTATTACAAATAGTGTCACTCCTCTTTGTTAAATTAAAAAATTAAAGAAGTATTCTGTTTAAAAAAAGGGTTTCAATATCTTCTTTGTAGTTTCCTGGCACTCCTATATTTTAGATGATTTTTTTTTTTAGTGGGAAAGGTTATTGAAAAATTGCATTGTTAGAAATTATTTCCACCTTCATTATATGGCCTATTTATGTTCCTTTCTTTTTAATTCTGCCATTATTTATAAAGGCAGAAATCATCAAATAATTTTCCCATTTACATTTTAATGGGGTTTATATTGATAAATTATGATGTCAGAAAACTGATAGAATCAGGAAAAATACTGAGTGGCCTTCTCTTCTGTGTGGTGTTCAAATTGTGCGTGCTCAGGGGAGAGAAGAGCCATGCGTCCAGGTCCTTGTGTGTTTCCTTCTTAGCGACTCTTCCGTGAACACCGGGCTTAACATTTTATCTTCCTCTCTCCCCCAAAACTCTTCACCTGGCTCTGCCTGGTTTTTTTCTCTGCCAGCATGTTGCCCGCCCTGCATAGGAGGGAGGCCTCACAAGGACAGCCATCCATCTCTTTAGTTTGGTGTTTGTCACTGGAGTCTAGGATGTTACGTTCTTGCAGAATGAAAAATAGAGTAAAACAATGAAGGGAGTTAAACATGTGACCTTTTAATATGTTAAGTGAATTATACTTTGTTACTAAGAAATTGCAGATAGACTATAAGCTTTGTGTTTATATATTCTACTGTTAGGATTGTTCCAAGGAACTTAATAAAATTTCTTTGCAGTACAATGTTACAAAATAGGTTAACTGTATTCTAACTTTAAATACTCTAAATTATTTAACTTAAGTGAGTAACAAATTCAAATATAGCAAATTTTTTTTTCTATACTGCTTTGGATCCTCTAGGCTTGATTGTTACAAATATAAACACTGTGTTTTTGACTTCTTATTTAATTTTAGGTTACCAAGGAAGACTTTGCCACATTTGATTATATACTATGTATGGATGAAAGCAATCTGAGGTAATCACATTTTTTAAAGGGTATTTCTGTTCAACTCTCAGTTCAGTAATAAGCCAGTTGTTTGTTGTCGAGAATGAATTTTTTATTATCTTTTAAGTTTTAAAGGTAGTGATGGTCAGAACATACAGAATGATCTGTTTAGAGTAGTAAGAAACCAGTGAGGAACTGAGAACTGTCTCCCAGGTGTATTTACACAGAGACACGCTTTCAGGTAAGGGAGAGCCTGGTTAGCAGGGTATGACCTGAAGGCTGGCTGGGCAGTGAGCACTTTCCTAGAAGGTGGGCTTGGTTTTACAGGAGAGCGATGCTTCCGCTGCTGTGGCGATTCATGGGCCGTGTGGTGTTTTACTGTGTTTCTCATGTTATCCCCCCATTACTGCTGCCCCCAGCCCCCAAAAAGGAAGATGGACAAAAAGGGAAACTTTAGTCTCTGAACTGTTGATTGCGTTAATGGATATAGAAACGAAAGCAGACAGACTGGGGAATTAGGTAACAGTGGCCAGCTGTGCTGTGGCATGTATTAGGTGCTCTGCTCACCAAAGCACTTCACCCTCGTTCTGCGCCTTACCAGAGAGGCACAAGAGATTAAGTTACTTGCCCCAGTTCACAGATGGAGCAGATTGGTGTGGTAGAATGTTAGCCTAGGCTTTGTGAAACAGAGCCTGATGTGTGTCTCACATGAACCGTACTCAGCACTGTGCCCTGTCGCCTTGCTCGGGGCCGTGCATGTGGGCAACAAGGAACTTTGTGGCATTTCTTGAGTGAGCTTTGTGTGCCTGGCACAGTGCCAGGCCCTGGGAAGCAAGGTTGAGGAGTTGTGGGTGCTGCCTACCCTTGAAGTATACAGTCTGGCCTGGGCTCCATGTATTAACCCAGAATTAACCCTGACAGTATGATACCATGCAGTCAAGCCCAGAACAGGTGAACACGATGTATTCTACAGATGCCGAAGCTAATGCAGGGTAAGTGACCCAAGGGACTTGTAAGGCCGGGGCCCTGTGCCCCTTTGTCACCCCGCCAGTTTACTGTTCACTGTGCTGAGAAGCAAGACCTCAGCCCGCCTGCCACCCCTCCGCACTCTGCCAGCACAGAGAAGGACCAGGATGTGCCCCCAGTAGGACTGCAGGGATTTCTTCACTGAAATCAGTGCTAATTCACAAGGGTTCCACGTGTTTTATGAATAGAAACTGTTCTGCTTTTAATTGCCTTTGTAGGAGTGTGCAGATACGGTGCCCAGCTCTGCTTCTGTTTTTATGAATCAGGAGCATCACTAAAATACATACGTGTTCCATTTTTGTCTTTCAGTTGTTGATTTGTTTAGTTCTCACTTTGCTCGCTTACAGGTGTGTGGGTAGCAGTGCTGTGCTCAGTAACACAGTGTCCAGGGTGGGGGGTCGTCCAGAGCAGGGTCTCTGGAGAGCAGCTGGAGTCCGAGCTTCAGCCTGGGCTGCTCTGGGGACGCGTTCTGTTGCTCGGAGGCCTGGCCAGCCTTTCCGCCATACCAGCATGGTGTCTGACTCATCCTAGGTGCTCAGTGGGGCTTTGTCAACTAAATGGAGGAATGATCAAAATGCAGCTGAGGAACTTGCCACTTTACTTGCTGCCACGTGAGCGCCGGGGGCGGAGGCGGCAGAGCCGGGTCAGAGGCTGGAGGAGTAAGAGCAGGAGAAGGGGTTGAACAGGGAGCCTCGCTGCATGACACGCTGTGTCCAGACACTTTGGGATGGGATTGGCAGCCCTCTGGGACTTGGTTCATGTGGCTTCTTGAGTTCCATTCTGCCACCTTTATTTAGTGTCTGGATTAGCAGCTTTTTGATTTAATTGTCTCACCGTGTATTTCCCAGGAGGCTACATCATTGTTGTCTGACTTAGGGATGCATGTTTTGTGTAAAAGCATTTGTGAGAATGTGCCGCCTTCGCAAACCCTCCTGCCGGCATCGGAAACGTGGCTGGGAGGGTCACACAGGTTTGCCACGGGTTTGGTTTCCTTTTTAAATCAGGTCACGCTTGCTGGGTTTTGATGTGGATATTTCATAAAACCCTAGCAGATGTCCCTGTTTAACTTGAAACCATAGATCAGAAAACTAAGTTCATGTTTCAATTTTACAGAGACTTGAATAGAAAAAGTAATCAAATTAAAAACCGCAAAGCTAAAATTGAACTACTTGGGAGCTATGATCCACAAAATCAGCTCATTATTGAAGACCCCTATTATGTAAGTACACCTCTCATTTCTGTGCTGATGCTGGTGTATATGGGGATCATCATGTGGGATGAGCCCGGGTGTGTGTCCTGCCATGTGCAGTAACAGATTAAGGTTCTCCTAAGAGCATTTTGTTATGCAGGCTTTGTTATTTTTTCTTCCCCTGTGCTTTCAGGGGAATGAGTCCGACTTTGAGACTGTCTACCAGCAGTGTGTGAGGTGCTGCAGGGCCTTCCTGGAGAAGGCCCGCTAATGCCACGCCCGTTCTCCCCACAGCCCCCGGCTGGGCCCCGCAGGCTCTGCTGTGAGGTCGCAGCTGTTTCTTCAGTTGACCCTCGGTTTCTCACCTTAAATAATTGTAGATGGAAATCAGTTATTGTATCTGACAGACAAATAAATAAAAATGTTTCATCCAGACAGTTTATGGGGTACGCGAAGTGTTCTTAGACCCGCTGAACCTCCCACTTTGCCCCAGTTACAAAAATAGTGGAACAAACAAAATCGAACAGACACCAGAGCATGAGGACATCCAGCGTCCCTTTCGGGCACACGAGTTCTGCCTCTTCCTCAAGTTTGCGGACGACCGATGGGGACCCTGTCCTCCGCTGTCTGCACAAGCCAGCCCCAGCAGCCCATCCACGGGAGCTCCCAGCCGAGACTCACCCTTGCTCGCAGTGCACACTGTTTACATAGAAGAGTTAAGGTGTTAGTCTGCAGAACCTTTCCGACCTGCTAGTTTATTTCATCAGGAAGTCAGCTTGATTCCATTTGAACCATTTTGCCTCTGGAAAGTTACAGCCAGAAAGGACACTGTATGCTGGTTCATCTTACTGTCTGAGGAACGTGTCTGCTTTTCAATGCCTGTAGAACCCGAATGTCAAATATAGATTAGCCCAGGTGGGAAAAAATAATTAAAAAGTTGGGGAAAGTTCTTTTATGTCGAGCTGCTTAAATATTGAGACATTAAGTATTCTTTCATCAGTGCTTAATTTATAGACACATACAGGTAATTTCTGTACACTTGGAGGTAACTAATCTAAAATTCATATGGATATATGACAGAAAAGATTGTTTTCAAAATAAACTGGGGAAATTATAAAAATACAACTAAGAAGTCTGGTGTCCGCCTGCTTTTTTATTGATAAGTGAAAAAGAATTAGAAAACGATGCCTTTATTGTCCCTTTCAGATGACCTGTGATGTTATATGTGCATATTTATCTTCAGCTTTATTTAGGAAATGAAATGACAAAAGTAAGTACATTGCTTCCACTTCTTTGTGAAAGAAGTTTGAGGGCCCTGTGGCCATACTTGTCCTTGCCTGACCCAGCATCTGTGGAGTGCGGCAGTCTCCTCCGTGGAGCTGGCTCTCCAAGCTGGGCCTTCCTGGGTGGCATGGCTAGATGAGTGAGAGTTTGCTGTGCTCCCCTCTTCACCGGGATTCACAGCTGGTGGCCTGGAATCCTGGGAGGGCCCCGAGTCATGGATCAGTCTTCATCCAGAGCCCGAGTGGACCCTTGCTCAGAAGTAGGAGGAGTTTGGAGGAAGAGCTGCCCCATCAGGGTGGCCGCCTCTGCGTGTTGTGAGGCTGCCCGACCTCAGAACCTGAGGGTCCCGGCTGGGGGGTCCGGTGGGGCATTTAGTCCTGGAGGATGAGCATGGTGGCTTTGCCACCACCCCTCCAGGATGTGTGTCTGGCCCCCTGTGGGATTTCCCAAAGACAGTCCTGCCTGAAAACTCTTCCTCAGGCTAGTAGGAACCTGGAGAGCTTACATGGATTAAGAAATTGGTGATAATGCTTTAAAAAGTAAAGAACTGAGCTGAAAAGATGAAATAATTAGAAAATAGGACTAAGAGCGCTTTAGAATTACACTCTGCCCTAATCCTTCAGTAGTTGCTTAATAATCTCAAAGTATTTTCATACTCTGTTCCTTCGTGATCATGAAAAAATCCCTATAGTTTGTTTTCCTTACTGTTTGCATCTGTATCTTAAATACGGACCTCAGACATGTCCTGGGAATCATGTCTACTTTATCCTTATGGCTGTATCCAGATTAGAGGTCCTGTGAACAGAGAAACTCAGTGTTGAATTCACTTGTCATAAATTGGATGCAATCAGATTTATTAAAAATATATCACCTGTAAAAATCAGAGCTGCTTAGAAGTCTTACCTCTTAGTTTTTTCATGATTACGAAGTCACACAGGAAAATACAGACGCAATCTTCTTTAAATATTCACCCCGTATCAGACTCTGTCTTAAGACATGCCACCATTACATAGTAGTGTCTCCTTTTAAAAAACGCCAATTTAATTGTCCCTTCCAAGAATTCATAGCCTTCCCCTTTTATGTATTACGCCTTTTATATTCCATGACATTCTGCCAGTGTTAGGATCTCTTCATCGTTCTGTAAATCATGAATTCCCACCGGTGAGCTTGTTAGAAGTAAAGAGTCACTTTGAAGACTTCGTTATAACAAACATTTCGTTTATTACCTGTTTTATTTACAGTATTTACATATTGCACAATATCTGGATACTATCTTACATTTATGATAGAAAGAACAAATGAAATTAGCCTGGATATGTTCACAGACTTATACTCCACTATCTCCAAAACATGACAAGTTTTTTTTTGTTTTTTTTTTCCATGCAGTTCCAAATAATGCTCTGGGAATTTAATTGTAAGAGTAACAAAAATATTAAATCATACCATATGCTATATGAAAATATAGTTTCAGCTTCTATTTATGTTTCTAAAGAAATACTCTTTGAGATTTCACCTAATCAGGAGAGTGAAATAGCTTTGTCTGTCATTTTATAGCACTACACATCAAATGTGGAGCATTCGCCTTTTCCCCCAAAACCACGAATGGCAAGTGTTACTGTCAGGTACGCTGAGTAACTGAGTATGTATTTGCCAACAGTGTCCACAACATACAAAACTCAAGTTAAAGGGTTTTTGGAAGAGTCCGTCTGCAAAAATAAATCTCTTGTTCACAAGGGGATGTGTTCGCGAAGGTAGCAGGTTCTGTTCCCTGTTGATTTCCAAGGCACTTCTCATGGTTCATAGGCTGTTGGTCCTTGGCAGCTCTGCTCACTGCTGAAAAACACGTTTGGTTTCATAGAACGTCACACTTCCTTACCAATTCTAGAAGAAGTATACATCAAATGACGTAACAATGTGTTTGAAAACACAGGGGGTCACAGTCTGTATGTGTATTTCTCTCTGTTTCAGAAAGTGTAATCTGTTTTATTGTGGAAATAACCAAGTTCTACAGTTGTTACAGGCCTACTATGCTAAAGGAATGAAAACCATCAACTGGTACTAAAGTCTGAAGACCAGCCCATGGTCCTGATGTGTGTTGTCAAGTCCTCTAATTGGGGCCACAGTGATTGACCGCCTGGCAGTCCTGAGAAACCACTCATTGGCCCTTAAGCCTCCATCTGCACGAGCGTTTGCAAAACTAAAAACCAAAAATAAACCCTTTTTTCTAGCACTCCCTGCAGTGTGCCCGAACCATTGGTACACTATTCATTAATTTTAAAAATAATGGTAAGCTCCAGAGTTGCTAAACTTAAGCTGCAGTTGTGGACTGACCTAGACACTTGTTACTCAAAACTCCATTTCTTTGGAAATATATTCCAGAGCTCAGGCGTCTAACTGAACTGAGCTGCAAGTGGTGTGTGAGAGGTCTCCAGTGTGTCTCTGTGAGGGAGAGTAGCTGGGAATCTAGTTTCTCTTTGGCTGGAGATCAGTTAAAGAGACGGAGTGTGTAGCCTGAGTAGTTGTTTCGGTGGAGAGGACCACAGGGCATTTGGTCTTCCGTCCTGTAAGTAAATGGAATTTGTCTTCCGAGGATGTGCCTGGTTCATCTCTGGAAACAGTGGTGCTTTAATTATGAAGGGATGCTTAATAAAATAACATGCCCATCTCCCCTAGCGTATGACCTTGAGAGACTTCTGAGAATCCATCCATTGCTTCAAAAAGAAGTCTTTTCTGTGTGCCATTTGGCAGTGGACTCGGATGGGCAGTGGAGTGGAGGTCAGGTTAGGGCACGGCATTTCTCAGCTTTGGCGCTAAAAGCCGTGCTTTTACTTTCCCACATAAAAAGTGCCGTACAAGTTTCTGTGAACCCGCAAGGATGTGGCTTCATAATCCTCCACACCACATGTTGTTTCGCTCATTATCGGTGGGACTTACGCCGGGGAGAAGCCGGTGCTGACGATGACGTGGCTGTGATTGCGTGATCAGATGGCTGCCGGGGTTTGGCTCAGCCCCCTCGGCACCGTCTAGACCTTTATCGGCACAGGCTTTCCCCCAGCGAGCATGTCTGTGTGTGAAAGAACACGACTCCCGCGTCCACGCACACGAGATGAACAGGGTAACCACTGTCCACACACAGCAGATCATTGTCTGGGAACAGCCATCGAGGACCTGAAGCGTGTCTTATTTGTGGAGGTAAACTTGGCCTCTGGCGGTGCCCAGCATACACAAGACACACTGTAAATATACAATTAGGAAATTACCGTTTTGTGACCGAAATCCATGGCATTGGTGTCAGGAAAACAAAACGTTTCAGCCATCGGTATGGCGGACAGTTGGTGTTGGACATTGGCCCTCAAGAGGCCAAGGCTAGAAATTTAGTTCATAAACTCTCCATGTGCCTTTATATTTTACCACTGGAGGCTCTGGAAAAATAGCTGATAGAAACATAGAATAGCTATTCTTAGCTGTTCCTTATAAGCTTCCTGGCATAATGATAGATTCCAACTCAAACATTTGCCAGATACGTCTATAAAAGTTGCATGGATATGGTTAGTCATATACTCATTTATGAGTGTAAATGAATGAGTGAAAGCCTAAAAGTGAACAGGCATGGTTTTAGATATGTATCCTAATTTATGCACTAAGTCATGTGCTGAAATCAGTCCACTAATGGGTTGTGTTTCAAATTAACACGCACTCTGCCAACAGAGTCCTCACAGGAGTAATTCACAGCAGCTGCCTGGGGTACTGTGTGCAGATTGGCCAGGGTACCTTTTCTTGATGGCCAATATTTGTAGATATTTTCGTGTTACGTCAGCCTTACTCAGAGGAAGGCTACTTTAGCCAAAGAAGGTGTATTTCTGAACTCCCATGAATTTTTCGTGTCCCAGACGGGATTTGGGTCTTGGGTGGGTGTACCAGTGAAGCTGTGGTCAGCTTACCTTATCCCTCCATGCACATTGGACTGACAGCCAGCCGGGTAAGCAGCCTGGCACATCTTTTATAGTCTGTAGGGAAAATGAACCGTGGACCCTTGTCAGTGACATCAGCAACTCCTTAAGTATTTTTTAATATCAACTGCTAAAGCCATTTATTTCTTTAAATATTCTGAATTCCCTGGAAGTGATGGGGAGACTGTCATCTGAAATCATGGGCTCTAAGTTGTTGATTTAATAATTTATGGTACTTGAGGGACTTCCGTTGCACATGGCAAAAGGTAAATAATGGGACTGGAGGCTGTGCAGGGAGGGCAGGTGCAGGATCTCCTTCTGTCCATTTTCTTTTCCCGCTCATCAAAATGACTGGTTTTGTTCCCTAGCAGACAGTCTCCCCGTGCCCTGTGTCACTTAACTTTCAGGGCGCATGCAGGCTGGATCCCCACTTGGGTTGATCATACACAAAACCCTCTGCATAAAGATTTAAAGGAAGTGGGTCAACAAGTAACAGAGCAGAAAGACCTGGGTTAGATGGTGAAAGGAAGCAATAAGCTAATTTCTGAGTACTAATGGATTTTCCTTGATATCTCACCTAATTAAGTTATTCCATAGGTGCTACCTCAGAGAAAACAAGTGGGGTTTGGTGATCATAACCATAAAGGAATTTCCTCAGTTTGAAGTTCTGTGGAAAGCTACAGCAGTTTATAAATTACTAAAGTTTACTTCTCAAGAGTCTCAAAATCCTACTTAAAAATGGAAGAATTCATGCTCTTAACTGAAATTCTGAATGAATGAGTAAACTGACAACAATGAGTTTGCACAATATGTCAGACAAGCAGCTAATCCTACTCCTAAAAATGCAGCTCCTAAATATTTAGACGACATAATAATTTGTGTTCAAAGGAAAAAAAATGGCCTAACAGCTGGAAGCTGGGTCATCTGGATTCCTGGCATTTTTTCCCTCTTCCCCAGTTGCACCAAATATTTTAGGATGCAGCTTTCCTAGATAGAGTGTGTGTGGGTGCAGTGTTGTGTGAGTTCAAGGCAAATACTTCAGTTTGCAGCACATCTAGAGACAGTGAAGTTGACCAGCATCCCACCAAACCTGCATGTTCTTCGACTCTGACATAATCTGGGGGTCTTGTGAAGGTGGTGTCTTGGAGACTTCAAAGTTCTGCTCTTCTGAAGAGCTGCCCTTGGGACCACACTTTGAGTAAGAAGGCTCTGGTTCCTTTCAGTCCTGACCTCCCAGGATTCTAGTTTTCTTTCATACAGCCTAAAGCAACACAGAAGTGGCCCAGCTTTGGGGCGCCTGGGTGGCTCAGTTGGTTGGGCGACTGCCTTCGGCTCAGGTCATGATCCTGGAGTCCCGGGATCGAGTCCCGCATCGGGCTCCCTGCTCGGCGGGGAGTCTGCTTCTCCCTCTGGCCTTCCTCCCTCTCATGCTCTCTGTCTCTCATTCTCTCTCTCAAATAAATAAATAAAATCTTTAAAAAAAGTGGCCCAGCTTTGGCTCTCCACCCACCTCCATATGGGTACAGTTTAAGTAGCTGCTTACCCAGTGCACACACCTGTGGGCTTCCATGTCTCCCAGGCCGGAGGGGAACTGTGATAGACCCTGATGGCTACCTCCCATACTGAGTGAGCAGGGATCTGGGAGGCATCTGGCTGAGTTACTCTGAGCAAAAGGAGGCAGTGAGTGTGGGCACATACGGTGTCCTGGGGAAGGGGTTGCAGAGTTGAGTGTGTGCTGTGTGTCAGGGCACACGGAATTTAAGCATGTTTGTTTCCTCATCCACATATGAAAACATTAGAAGTAATGACCCCAAAGATCACTTTCAAATTTAGAATCTGATCCTATTACTGTAAGATGGTATTTAAAAATATAGACACATTTAAACAATAAAAATGTTCTCTGGCCTCTGGAATAATGAGTAACTCTCAAACAGAAGGCGATTCTATTTCAGAGGAAGGAAGTGGGAGAGGGACATGCCAGGTGCATAGGGCATGGACCGGAGGGTGGACCAAAGCAGTGCTTGAAAAATAATCCGAGCTCTGTGGGACATGTATGCCGCCTGCCGTGGCCGAGCCCTGTGCAGCAGTGAGAGCCTGAGGGCCTTCGCGCCGAGCACCCCAGCTCCCTACAGAAGGTGATGCTCCCGGTCTTACCGGCCACCTTGGTCAGTGCACCTGGACAAGGAGCTCCGCATGTGGTAGCTGCAGTTATTTGCGGCAACTTTGCTGCCTGAGCAGAAAAACTTCCGCTTCACATGAAGTGGCTTATTTTTTTACTTTCCAGTTTTTGAAGGCAGGGCAGGAAAGTCTGGCCTGGACAGTCTGGATACTCTGGATAGTGTCTGAAAGCGGCTAGTAAGACACCTGGTGTGTCTGCACCACTTTCCTCCTGTGAGCCTCATGTGAAATGAAAGCTGTAGTCCCTACAAGAAGAATTGGTTTAGGGCTCTAACTGATGCCACTCTAGCATGTTTTGCGACGAGCACTAGCAACCACTTCTGGGGGAATAAGATACATTTTGTTACAGATAGACAATCAGAACGCTGTAGCTGAGCTGGACTGAGAGGGGAACTCTGCATTTCCGGATTAGTGAAGAGCAGCATCTAGTCAGGGTGGCGTGGCCCAGGTCCACAGATTCTTTCTACTCCAGAGCAGACTACTCCACGGTAGTCATTTTAGCAACTCATTCTTAAAGTTTGTCATATTGAGTAGATACAAATATAGACATCATGCCAGAATTCATAAAACAAGAATGTGAATGGAAGAGCTGATTAATTCTAGTGGATGTAAATTTTCCATTTGGCACTAGGTGCTACAGAATGCCGTCACCTTCTTCTAGGGTCTGGTCACCCTAACCCTTAACTCCACAGTTACGAGGGACTGTATTTTAGCAAAGAGATTTAGGAGGGGTGGAAGGACATGAGAAACTCATCAACATGTGCTGGTCTTTCCAAAGCAATTAGGATGCTGTCACTCACATGCAGGGATGGTGCAGTCTCTGGTGTTGTGGTAAAGTCTGTGAAAGTGTTTGCTGCACTTTGGACTGAAATAAAGAGGACCTGGAACATGGAAGAAGAAGCAGACTGTGAGGACTTGCGGGATGCCAGGAACTGGGCACAGGTGAAGGAATGAGGACACTTACCTGTAAGATGTTTTAGAAACTTGTCCTTCATCCTTAGATCTCGAGGCACAATTTCTGTTTGAAGGGAAAGAGGCTAATTATTGCATTGCTTGAAAGAAGCATTTGTTTTTATGTGATCTAAGTGAATGTTGAAGAGAGTATTGGAAACTCTTCATTAGCCATGTTACCTTGCCCTAAATAAAACAGATTGGTTGTACATGACATAATGTGAAGACTTGTAATCAGGATCACATCTTTCTTCAGATAAAGTATTAGCTATTCACAAAGCTTCAGTATTATTTGTCTTGTCTCTACCGCTAGTGTAAAGACAGTGACGATAAAGTTACATAAGGGGGAAGAGGTGCGCGCGCTTGTGTGTGTGTGTTCATAGCTTCTGATACATAAATCACTTTTAGGCATTTTCATTTTGGACAGCTTGGTAATCGAATGCCACAAGCTCTGAGAGTTCTAGAATGAAAACCCAATCCTTCAAGCAAAAAATTGTTATAAAACTTTTTTTCTAGGTATATATTTAGAAAAAGGATTAAATGCCTTCAAAACCACCTGTTACGAAGGCTGGTGTAAATGCATGGAAACAGACGTTTACCTGGTTAACAAGATTAAAGTAAAATTCCCGGGGAAAGACAGCTCTCAGTTTTTACTTGGGAATAGCAGTGTTCCCACTGACATTCTTTCTGATCCAGGTGTTGTTTTTGCTTTTTTACAGTCACCTGTAACCATTTTTCACTCACTTGTTTTGGAGAATGACTTTTGCTATGATTGCATGTGGTCGCACTTTGTTTCACCACAAATACTCCTCATCTGAGGAGGGAACATTTCCTACGAATCTTCTTCACTTGCAAGGCTTAGGCATCTCCTGAATGTCAGTCTCTATGAAATTGACCTTATCACATTTGACCCAATTGTGTCATGAAAGCATTAAAAGCTTGCATGCTTTCTTTGGAAATTTCCCATGGGGCACCCACTCTGGGAAGGCTCTGCCATTGGCAGAGGAGGGTAAGGGGAGGGGGGTGGCCCTGAAACATTTCTGTGTCGGTTGAAAGTGCTTTGCTGAAAATATTTCCATTTCCTAAATAACAGATGACAGTTCTGTGCCAAAGCTCCCAACCTAGGTAATAACTCACGTGTCTTAGACGTGGAGTAGGGATAGTTATACGCCGAGGCATCATCACTTACCGACCTTCTATTTTCTTCTTAAAAAAAAAAAAATGCCTAGTTGTTTTCAAACGATCGAAATGGTTTTATCTTGTTAAAATAGCTATGATTTCTCAATTTCCAAGCAAACACGAGTTCCGGTGTCTCCCGAGACATGACGGGTACGCAAACATGCCGGAGGTTCCCAGTACACTGCATACACCCAGAGAAGCCTCGGGGGCAGGTCGCTCGGCCCGCAAGCCCGAGGCAAGGGCACTCACCCACTCTCTGCTCCTCGGGATAAGCCGGGTAGTCCGAGACCTCCCTGCGGCCCAGAGTGTAGTCGTGCTGGCCCAAGAGGTGCAGTCTCTTCGACTCGCCCGAATGGTACTTTCTGAGCTCCTGGAGGATCTCCACGATGAGCCGCAGCAGGGTCTGTCTGTCGGCCGCCTCCCGGGGCTCGGCCACCCCGGGCCCCGCCGCCCCCAGCACGAGCAGCAGCCCCAGGAGGAGGGGGCGCCCAGGCCCGCGCATCGTGCGCTCGCTCGGCCGGAGGGAGCTCGGCTCGCTGGAGGGGCGGGGTGGGGGCGGGGGGGGAAACCGGGAAAGAAAGTCGGCGGCGGGGGTGGAGGGCAGGAGAGACTCCCCGGCCGAGACCGCGGCCCCTCGCCACCCCCGGCGGCCGCGGTGTCCCCGGGGCCCGCGCGGGACCCGCGCAGGCCCCGCGGCGGTGATGCCGAGAGCCGGGGCCCGGGCGCCGCCGCCCTCCTCGGCGCGCCTCCTCCCGCCCGCGTCCCGCCCCCGCGGCGGCCCTCCCAACTTTGCGCGCAATGGCACGTCCGCCCGCACTTCTCCGCGCACGGCACCGACACAACTTTCTTAACCTTTACAGCCACGCGGCGCGGCGCGTCTCCTGCGCCTGCGGGGCGGGCGCGCACCCACCCGTCCAGGAGGCTGGAGGACCGAGGACCGTCCTGCCCGCGGACCTATCGCCTCCCGACAGGGCTCCGCTGCGCTCGGGTGAGTGGGGGCCGCGCGCCCCGCCCGCGCGGCCGCGCTCAAGTTTGCAGCAACGCCTTTGTGTGGTGCTCGCCCCTCCTCCCGGCCGGGGTCCGCCGAAGGCCCCCCCCCAGGACCCTCGCTCCAGCCGCCCGCAGCGCCGGGCCTTAGAACCCCGGCCCTCGGGGAGGGAGGGAGCCCGGCCCACACCTGCCCGGCGCCGCCCGCGGGCCACCTGCGCGCCGGAGCCCGGCCAGACTACCTGTCCCCGAGTCCCGGAGCCGCGGGCGTCTGCGGCTTCTGTCCCGGTGTCCGCTCCCGCGTCCCGGAGCGGCCGCGCGCCCCGCTACTCCATGCCCCGCGGCGACCCGGCGTGCGGAGCGCACAGGACGCGCGGGGACGGAGACCCGGAGGCTCGCCCGCTCGGAGCGCTGGACGCGCGGCTGCTTGGGCTGCGCTCCGACCGCGGCCGCTTCTTATCCCCGCGCCCGCCGACGTCAGGCCGGTCCCCGAGGGCTCCGCGCGGGGCTTTAATTAGAAGCCGCTCGACTGTTCGTACCCCTGTGCGGATCTTCGTCAGACACCCCCCCATCTCCTCCCATCTCTCCCTACCCCTCTGTCTCCCCCCTCCCCCGCTCCCTCTACCCCGTTCTCTCTCCCTCTGCCCCCTCCCCTCCCTCCCCTCCCCCATCTCCTCCTCCGTCATCTCCTCCCCCTCCCGTCCCTCGCCTCCCTCCCCTTCGTCCTCCCCTCCCCCTTCGCTCCCTCAGTCTGTTTCCCTCCGTTCCTGTCACTGTGACAGGATGAGAAGAAACGCCTTTACCAGGAACTCAGATCTGTTTTTGTCTAAATGTAGATCTTGGGCTATTAAAAAATGAGCTGCCTGATTGCCTCGACATTTAATAAGTCAATTAGAGTCTATGCTTTTTGGAGGAATCTTTCGGCGTGGCTGGGGGCCCCTCTCAGGACCCCAAGAGGTCTGCACCGCCCCACGGCCTGCAGCAGGAGGCCGGGTCCCTGAGGCCGGGCAGCCCCCAGGGCAGGGGCCCGGGTTCAGGGTGGGACACGGGCAGCGCTCTAGCAACCTTGGGATGCACTCGGTTACCTGGCCGGACACGTGGGAGCCCCTCCTCAACGTGCATGCCCCCCAGCCCACGCGGAAGGACGAACCGAAGCCCCTCCCGCAGGGGACCGCGCGGCCCGCGCTCGCTCGCTCCCTTCCGCGGAAACGCCCGCAGGAGGCCTCCTGGGGCACCTCCCTCCAGGCCTGGTCTTTCCGAAAGTTTTGGTTCTTTGGAAACAGGCAGGCACATTTGTGAGGCTTCAACAGTCTATCTCCTGTAATTTTTTTTTTTCTTGTAAAATGTATTATCAATCAATTGCGCGCTTTCCCATTTTATTGGCGCTTTCTGGGCAAGCGCTGGACACCCTCCAAGTCAGTGGTCTGACTGGGGAAGGCGGTCTCAGTTCGGTACCAGAACGGGGGGTGCGCGCAGGAATTAAAAGCCTCCACCCTTAACAGGACCAGCACCCAGGGCCCCCGGGCGGAGGTGCTGCGGGCACGTGGTGCGGACCCGAGCCGGGCCTGCGGGTCGCAGGGGCGGGCACCTCCAGGGCACGAGCTCTCTCTGCGCATCTCTGTGTCTCTCTGTCTCCGCTCTGTGTCTCTGTGTCTCTGTCTCTGCTCTCCCTTTCCATCTCTGTCTCTGTGTCTCTCTGTCTCTGCTCTGTGTCTCTGTGTCTCTGTCTCTTCTCTGTGTCTCTGTCTCTCTGTCTCTGCTCTCCCTTTCCATCTCTGTCTCTGTGTCTCCCTGTGTCTGCTCTCTCTCTTTCTGTTTCTCTCTCTTTCTGCTCTGTCTCTGTGTCTGCTCTGTCTCTCTGTGTCTCTCTGTCTCTGTCTCCTTTCACTAATTCTGCTTCCTCCGGAAAACAAAGTGTTTGTCAAAGTGAGGCTGGGGTAAATAGAATAGAGCAGAAGATACTAAAATGCGATCATCTAAATCCCACCCCCCACACACCTTTTGGGGGGATGTGTTTATATTCTGCTCTCTTTAAAAGGAAATGGTTATATTTCTCAGTGAGCACTTCTTTTGGCAGGCAATATGACTAAGATGTGAATGTTTTTGTTAAGATATCCTCCAAAAGAAAGAAAGAAAGAAAGAAAGAAGGAAAGGAAGGAAGGAAGGAAGGAAGGAAGGAAGGAAGGAAGGAAGGAAGGAAGGAAGGAAGGAAGGAAAAGAAAGAAAGAGGAAAATTCTTATCAAACAGTTCTTAGGCAGGTAAAGTAGGATTTTTTTTTTTCCTTTTTCCGCTTCCCTTGAAGGAAGGGTGAGCTTCTGTTGCTGAAGCGCCGCCTAGTGACAAAAGCTTCCCTCTGCGGGCACTCAGCAGTGGCCCCGGGGTGGAGGAGCTTCCTTTCCACCCAATAGAAGGAGCACATGAAGCTTCTGTTGTAAAACATTTTGGTGTAAAACTGCTTTTGGGGAAAAAAAAATACTGCTATAGTAAAAAAAGAAAACAAGAATTTAGCCTAATCATATATTATTTTAAGTTTACAGAGTCTTTCCTTTTAAATACTATTTTACAAAATCAGGTGAAATCAATGAAGATATTAAAAGGTACAAAGTTCCTGTTTGTAAGTTGCAGGGATGAAAAGTACAGCATAGGAAATCATATTGTAATAATTTGTATGGTGACAGACAGTAACTACACTTCTTTTTTTTTTTTTTTTTTAAAGATTTTATTTATTTATTTGAGACAGAGAGAATGAGAGAGAGAGAGCACATGAGAGGGGGGAGGGTCAGAGGGAGAAGCAGGCTCCCTGCCGAGCAGAGAGCCTGATGCGGGACTCGATCCAGGGACTCCAGGATCATGACCTGAGCCGAAGGCAGTCGCTTATCCAACTGAGCCACCCAGGCGCCCTTTTTTTTTTTTTTTTTTTTTTTAAAGATTTTATTTATTTATTTGAGACAGAGAGAATGAGAGAGAGAGAGCACATGAGAGGGGGGAGGGAGTAACTACACTTCTGGTGAACATTTTCTAATGTATATCATATTAAATCACTATGTTATATACCTGAAACTAATATTATGTGTCAACTATACTTCAATTAAAAATAAAAAAAATAATTTTTTAAATTTAGGTTTTTCTAAAAAGTACCAATTAGGACTATTCCCCCCCTCCCCAAATTCTACCAACCAAGGAAGCCTTGCTAGTAATTAATATTGTCCTTTTTTCTTTTGTGGTTTTTAATGGGACAAATGGATTTTTTGAATGAGTCTATTCTACCACCCAGTTATATATGCCAATACTTTAGCCCAACTCATCAGATACTTACATGCATAAACAACAGCAACAAAACTGGTGCTTTGTTGGTGTTTAGTTTCATGAGATCTGGCAGTTAGGGATCAGACCATCATGTTTTAATTCATTCATTTTTGCAAAGCTCTGTACTGAAATGATTCCAGGAGCCTTTCATTCTGTATAAACCATTTTTACAGACTTTCTCAACTAAATAAAAAAGTGCACTGAATTATAATCTCTACTGAGCTGCCCAATTTATGGTATTGTCAGGAAGAACCCCTTGGAGTTCTCCCATCACCAGAAACATTCTGATTGGCTAAATTAATTGTGCTGGTTAAGGCAAAGCAAAGTATGTAAACTGGCTTAGGTGAAAATATACAGTTATATTTGACAAATGGCTTAGGCTCTCCACTTCTTTCCTATAAAATGGGGTGGTTGAACTGGATGGTCTCTGAAGTCTAAAGCTGTATAATTCTGATTGTTACCAAAAAACCAGAAAACAAAAAATGCAGTATTCCTACAAAGAGCTGAAAATAATTCACTAAAAGAGTCACTACGAGCTTCATCATCTGTTTTTGTGCAAGAAGAGGTGATATATTCATCTTAAATAATTTAATTCTCTCCTTTGTAAGTGAACAACTTTCTATTATGAAGGGTCCAAAAGAGATAAGATAGTAACAGTATATTTTAAGCATTATTGGCCAAAGTAACTTTTGCTAGATTTGATTTAGTTTTGTTTCCTTTTTGAGAAAACTATGTTAGCTCATAGAAAGAAAACTAACAAGAGAGGGGAAAGTTGTGTTTAACCCACTTATATTGTAGATCTATGTTGTAAGATGGGCAAATTATTTTTTAAATTTATAAATAGTATAAAGTTCCAAAGTTTCAATTACAATTTTTCTCTCTTCCTGAAAAGGTATAAATTTTATTTGAGATGACTATTAACTACCTTCAAACACTAATAAAATAGATATATATTAACTACATGTTTTTAAATGAAGTATTAGTTCAACCATAATGTTGATTATTTAACAATCTAACTAAGATCCTATTAGAGAGAAAAACTACTACCTTTCATAAAGGATAACTTTATGTGCTATAAAGAAATGTCACTTAATATTTAACTTTCATCAGTTCTGTTATTGTTGCTATTGATATATTATTAGTACACTGGGAATGTACTAGAAAGTATATAAAGCATTTAGGAAGACAAAATTTCTAACAGGACCAATCTTTATGGTGTAAATGTAAACAGTATAATCTCTTATAAGTAATAATGTGTGCATGCTCTCTAGCAGTTTATTCTAGATGAATGAAATACAGCCTTCTACCAAATTCTTTCTCTCCTATGTAGAGGAAGCACATTATTGTAAGGATATATAGGTCATCCACCTCCTTTTCATTTTTTGATACACACTTTTGCATCTGCAAAGCCACACTGCAGTGCAAGTCCAGGAGAGATATGAGAGCCAAAGGTTATGTATGAAGGCTTAAGATGCTCTGTAGCATGACTGATTTACTCCTGCTCAGTTTTCTTATCCCGTAGCCAAGAGAAAGAGGACTATTAATGGGTGGGCTTAAAGGAGCATGGACTTCACTTTGTTCCCTGGAACTGGTTTAGTTATGAAATCCAGCTAGAGAAGAGGCCTTAAAGGTTAGCGACACTTGCCTGCCCCTTAAGGCTCCAATATCACAGTTTTTTGTTTTGTTTAGATTTTTAAAATTATTTATTTGAGAGAGAGACAGAGAGAACATGAGCAGGGGGGAGGGGCAAAGGGAGAGGGCGAAGCAGACTCCCTGCTGAGCAGGGAGCCCATCCTGGGGCCTCAATCCCAGGACACTGAGATCATGACCTGAGCTAAACCAAGAGTTGCTCACTTAACCGACTGAGCCCCTCAGGCTCCCCAGATCTGCCCTTTCTAAGAACCTGGAGGTCCGCGCTGGGTCCTCTGCCTTTGGTCTGAGAGGGAGGTTGTAAGAGCTAAGGCTGGGGGAGGCATGTGTCACCTCCACGAGTCAGCACTCAGCCGAGGGCCCCTCAGCAAGAATGCAGGTAGGGTCAAATGAGTGTGACCAAGGAAATACGCTTTCTTCAGAAAACGAATGCTTGTTATGCTATTTTCTTGTCTGTTGAGCAATGTAGGAAGAAACAATTCCTAACCCCTGGCCAAGAGTCTGAGACAGTGGCCCATCTCCTGCCAATTAGGGTTAGGGAGAAGATGTACAACAGATAATTCCCATGTAGGAGAGGCTGTGGGCAAGGTGCTGTG